TTTTGCTAACCATGGTTGTTATGCAGAAATAAACAAGAACCTGTTTTATATATATTTATGATATTTTGCTATTGCTATTGCTACTTCTGCAGAAATCGTTGGCTACTACATCATCTAGGTCACTGAAAAAGGTGAAATGTGTCCAATTTATGTGGGTTTTACCCGATATTAATTATGTTTCAACTTACCACAGGGAACACACAGGCTATTGATGGAAACAATGTCAACCATGGCGTTGGTGAGGTAGGAGCTACTATGCACTGGGGACCTGACGCAGGGCAAAACAAGTTTTACCTTACACACGGGGATGTGTAAGTTAAATATTTATTTACTTTTTAGCACCAGAAGTTATTATCTTTAAGATTAATAATAACGATCATTTGGCGAATAAAAACATTACGACTATGATATAAATCTTATCATTTTTAAACCAATGTCTAATGATAAAATTTAAGGAAACATGCAGTAACAGTTTTGTAGTCTTACTAAATTTAATACTTTTTAACAATTTTGATCTTTGCTTTATTTTGTTTCCATATAGACACGGTGACTGGAGCCACTCAATGCATACTTACAAACTGGATTGGGATGTTAATCACATTCAGTAAGTATAAACTACTTGATTTATACTCAGATAGTCTACATCCGACATAATCCGCATGAACTTGTCTAATATATATCTAATGTTTATTTCGAATGGGTTCAGTTGATATGGTTTTAGTTCACTCTATGCAGGTAAGAAAAACCTTCTTAACAGCCTTTAGGTCATATCATTTTGCTTTTATATTCGTCAAACTTTGCTAACTTTTTATATAAATGTTTGAAAATTGGACATCTTTGGTCAAAAACTAGGTTACCAAATTCAATGAAGAAAACAACTTGTTTACATTCTGATGAAAGATCATAATTGTTATTTGATCTTCATCAAAATTTATCAGAAGGTTTGTCTCCAAGACAAGTTGCTTAGATTAGAATATAGGCTATATTCTTTAATTTAAAAGTAGGTCATAAATGCGAAGTAAAGATAAACCTATGTTATGGTTTTAGTCACAGTACTTTCTTCAATCTACTTTTTCGAAGTTTTTAGGAATGGATATACATTGTATACATTTAAAACAAACAATACTTTTCAACTTAGTTGATCAAATAAGAGCCATCATGGCCTTCTTGCTTTATTACTAGTGATGTAGACTCATATTTGATATCGTCAAACTGAAATTGGCGCATTATCCAGAATTTTAATGATCAAGAAATGGAATTGACCGAGTATAACCTTAGGGTTAGTAAAATTATGTAATAAATAGCAACTTGGTAAGTAGGGGGCAACTATATGTTTGGCATACTATATCAGGTAGTTTAAAATTAATTTACCAATGTCATAATCAAACCAATGCGCAAAAAAGACATTATTTATAATACAAAAAGATAAAAAGGCACTTAGATTTTTTTTATTATTTTAATGTTTAACGATAGAAAATACTCTTTGAAGTTCTTTTGATATTTTAATGTATGTTTTGTTTGTATGGTATATTTTACCTCAAAAATTGGGTAAGGTATAGGGAATGGAATTTGGTTGTTATAGTCGTCAGTTTGCCTATTACCAGACAGCTATGTGTCTTATACAGCTGAATCAGTTGATCCTTAGCTGAAGAAAACAGGTTCCTATTCATTCGTTTCGCCATCATCAGATAGACTACTCGAGGAACAGGGAAAGCTATCACTCACACCTACGTCGGTATCGTCGACGTCTTACTTTGGTTAAGTTTTTGCGCGCAAGTGTGGGTTCTCCAAAACTACGGGTTGAAACTTCACACATTTGTTCTCTGCTATTATCTAGCATGATGGGCACATGTTCAATAACTCTAATTACTTTTAACCGGGTAATTTTCTTTTACTTATAATGAAGTACTGGGTATAGTCGAGCGCACTGTCATAGGAACAACTCATGTTTTTTCTCTTTCTAGTATATCGGTTGACGGTCGCACTATGATGGATGTTCCAATAACACAAAGTTTCTGGCAGAAAGGTGGATTCGGTGGTAATAATATCTGGGGAAGTGGTACAAAGGCAGCACCATTTGATCAACCGGTGAATTTACTAAATTATTATGAAATAAACTTTCTTTGCCTGACACACATTTAGTATCTTTAGCTCGATTAAAAACAATGTTCGAGCTTTTGCTACAGGTTATGTTGTCGTTACTGTTGCCAATGCCGTATCCGTCCGAAAACTTAAACGTTGGTCATACTTGTTTTTATTTTACAATGGATTGCATTCATACTTGTCAAGTTAAATAACTAAGTTCTGTAAACTCTTTCCTACACTGGTATTCCCCTCTTTATTATAATTTCATTACTTTTTCTCACTTATTTAGATAATTTACTTTTTTCTTAATTGCATACAACAAAATGAATTATTCATTTAGTTAACGTCCAACCATGTCAGTTTATATTGATATCTTACGTCACGATTTCTAGTTGGCAACTGAAGACTGTCGTACATTGAACTTGAATTACCAAATAATTTCAATATAAGATAGATCTGGTAATTTTCCTAATACTTTGTCATATATGAGCATTTGTCTTGCATTGTAGTTTTACCTGATTCTAAATGTTGCTATTGCTGGAACAAACGGGTTCTTCCCTGATAACTGGAGATATAATTCACCGAAACCATGGAATAACAATTCACCAACCGAACCTAAGGACTTCTGGGACCATAGGGCTGACTGGCTACCATCATGGCATGGAGACGATGTTGCCATGGAAATCGATTATATTGACATGCAACAATGTTAAATGTAATGCTATGTAAAATTACTATAATAAAATACGTTTTATACTAATGAATATACATCTTATACGTTGTGGCGTACAATATAATAACATCAAATGTTTAAAGGCTTCATTTAGAGGTAAATATTTGGTTGCTGCTCGCCATTATGCAATAATGGCCCGAAGATGTGCATAATGGCCTGAGTCCGAAATACTGCATTTAGACATCGCCGCTAATCTTGGAATAAACGGACAGTAAAATGTAATGTAAACAAATATGTGTCATTCAGTTTAACTCTCCGATTACCTTTGAAAACATAACAAAATAAATATGAGACAATGTTGTTTTATTCATGTCTATATTGATAAATACTCTATATATTTTTTGTGACAATAATATTTAGTGCCAGTTTTAATGATCTTTTGTGCCTTCAAGAACAGTTTCCGAGAGTGATGTCTGGCTCTTCATTTGTATTTGCAATCGATTCGATCTTTTTTTCTACCGTCAAACTGAAATCATTTTTGGAAGTTCTGAGGGTCATGCAATGTTTTAGGAAGAGTGATTGTATCATTTTCTGAGTTTATAAATCTTCAATGTTAAGCTTTGTTAATTGCGATTGACTATGTCATTGAAACTTAAAATTTTGTGTGCAAGTGACTACAGTACACTACAGTTCATCCAACGTCAGCAGCCATCTTGAAAGTCACTGAGAGTTGATTACGTCATTTTGCACGTGCGCTTATTCACTCGCCCATTATGGAAAAATAATGCCGGGTAGCAAGGCAGCCGAAATTGCATAATGACCTTGATTTTGCCATAATGGCCCTGAAATACCCTAGATTGCGTTACTATATATAGTAACATAGGTATTAAATAATTGTTATACACTCGAGGTGTGACAATGAGTGCTAATGAAGATATAACTAGACCACATCTTAGATTATGGAGAAAAAAGTAAATGATAAGAAACACTTCAACAATACTACATGTTTTAAAGTTGTTCAGTGCTAACATTTTGCTTAGAAAAAAGTCTAAATTAGTCCCAATAACACACTATTATGAAACATTTAGTTGTGTGAATTTTCAGAGAACTTTCTGAAAAAAATCTATGAATTAACAAAGTTTCTCATTGAACTGTCATTACTCAAGACTCCGTCAGTTAAGGCACCTGGTTCAGACTAACATTACCACTTACTAGGTTTTTGTTAACAAACTTAAATTAACATCTGTATTTTCCTCTCCCTGGAAAAACGCCAATGTATGTTCAACTTATTAAAAAAGTATAACCCTTCCAAAACATGTAACTGCAGACCTTTGTCTCTCCTAAGCTATTTCGGAAAAGTTATGGTAATATGTATCCATAAATTCTTGTATAAGTACTGTATGTCATTTCCAAAAAACTTCTTTTATCAGTCATTAATTTTGGATTCATTTAAAGGGGTTCAACAATAAATCAGCTTACCTTTTCTCCACAGCCCTAGATGAAGCAAAACTCGTTTTTTATTTTGTGATATATTCAACACTTCAGTCTTTAGTTGGCATCAAAGACTCATCTACAAACTTTGACGTTATTATAGTAAACCGTTTGTCTGACTCTAAATTAAAGAATGTCAAGAAAATCGCAATACCTTTGTGTTTACAGAGCGCCTTTTACTTCATACAGAACTCATATAAGCACTGTGCAATTGACAACGTTAGACGTTGACGCGGCCCTTCAGACTTTAATGAATTTCTGCTTTTCGTGCTGAATGACACCTATGGTCATGCTAAAATTAGTTAAAACCGATGAAAAAGTACCATAACATTTTGCAATCATTGGTGTACAAGTTACATAAAATTATGTTACAGGTAAAAAAAAAATGCAAAATGGGATGCCTGTAGTCAAGCCATCATGAACAGTGTATTGTTAATAAGGACACGCATCAAACATTTCGCAGTATCTCAGAAATTAAAGACTGTAAAAAACTTTGAGTGTGCTGAAATTCTCAAAGACAATTTCAGTATGTTCTAAAAAATGGCTTAACATTAAAAGTGCATCCCGTCCAGAGGTGACACTAGTACTTTGAAAAAAAAACAACAAAAAACAATACACTAAACTGATGCCATTTTATATGACATGTCCTGATTTATGTAAGAGGAATACGACAAGGCTTGCACAGAACACAGTTTAATGTCATAAGTTGAATAGAGATAAGACTATACAAAATTCATACAATAAGTACAGACATTTCCATTTGAAGTTAGTATCCCGGCTGAACTGATTGCAGTTAGAGTCATCGGATAGAAAGAATGTTTGCCGTTGTTTTGTGTAGCTTGCTGGTAGCGGCCGCTCTCTCGGCTGAAATACCAACACCAAAGTTGAATCACCTGGTGTCAGGAGATGTTGAAATATCTGTGGAAGGTAATAACTGCCGACGCTTAGGAGTTTTAATCAATAGCTCGTTTAGCTTGGTAGAACATACATGATTTGCATAAAATTAAAAGGCAGACAAAGTGATCGCGATCAATTAAACGTGTCAGTGAAAAAGAGAGGTACATAACGAACATTTATACCAGCATATGATGAATTTATAGTTCTAATATAATAATAATTGACAGTGTATATTATAGGCATAGTGTATCGTGGAAATCAAAATTAAGAGTGGTTTTACTATTGAAATAGTGAGGGTAGGTAGTGATATCAATCACGATAAATTATTATAAAGGTCACGATAAAGTACGAATACAAGCCTTATGTTTCGACTCTTAAACTTATAGATTTTTAATTAACTAATTTAGTTTTAATTTAGATAAGTATTTTGAAATGAAAAACTAAAAGTAAAGTTGTAATATTCAAATAGATGGCCGCTTGTAGACAAAAACATGTCACTAAAATTGATTTTATGCTTCAGTGAAAAGAAAAAATAAATAACAGACAACTCGCACGCAATTAACAATTAATATTAATTATACAATATGCAGAATCATACGTAGGTATCGATTATTTTGTAAGTAGATCTTTTACAACAAGCAAGAGAATCAGTTTTCTGTTAAAAAAGTGTAATTTGTAATAAATATATACTACATGTAATCTCCTCATTTTTAGATAAAATCAAACACAGTTATCATAAAACTTAGTTACTGTAAATTGTGCACATATGTAATTTATGTAGAACATTTCTTTCAATAAGAACATGGGTTTTTATACTTTTTTAATTCGAATTGCATAGCCACTTTCCGACATTTAATACTTCTTTTATACGTGGATGTTTAAAAAAAGGTAAATTGGTAACATGTAAGCCGGCAGCACACGTTAAACAACAGATGATTTGTGCATCCCAACTGACATAGTTATATAAGTGAAAGTCATTTTATATCATAGTGTTTGACTTCTTTGATTCTGATTTTGTATAAATTCATTTCAATTCACTCTTTTTGATAAGCATGCATAAAGGAAAATTATTGAATAAACGGCCATGTATGTCATGGACTTTCCAGTTGTAATATGGTGCAAACCCTATGGACTTTGATTACATTTCGTACAAAATGTGGCAGTTAAAACACCCAAATAGGGTAACAAAACGACGCCGTAACACCTTTTATAGAATATCAGAGGATAAAATCATGTTTTAAGTTTTGAAAATGTGTGTAAATGTATATCTGAAGTTAGTTTTGTGAAACATTGGATGATAGTAACTCTCTTGTAAATACTGCATGTGATGCTATAACATTCTGTAGTTGCGAGGCAGACTCATAACTGGAGTTGTTATTCTGATAAAACAAATCAGAGCTTGATAGATACATTCAAAGGAATTTTGATGAATTTGTACATGGTGTAAGGCTTGTGTTAGATAGATTTTTTTTTCAAATTGACAAGAGTTTCATATTGGTTAAATTATACATGTACAGTACCCACAAAACCGAATCTCGCTAAACCGTAATACAGTACACCGGATATTTTTCAGGGGCCTGAATTTTTCCCTTCTATCTTTATTGTTAAAAAAATCCTCATAAAACCGGAAACTCGGTATTCCGGATATGGGTTAAATTAAACATTGCCATTTTTATGGGTTAGCAATAGTCTGCAATATATATTATGTTATTTTCTACCATCATATAACAATAATTTGTATAGCATCATTGTTTACAATATATTCTTGAGAGTACCACTTTCTCAATTTTTCAATATATCTATACACGTATGACATAAAATCAGCAAGATTACCAATTCTAGCTTTGAAATAATGATAGAGTTAAAGTTAATAATATCTGAGACTATTGTTTGACGTAAATGCTTGTAATCGTTGCAAACATGTATAAATAAATTGATATATTTATAGAGATGAAATCATTGTTATAACATGCTGTTAATCAATCAGTGAAATGAAATAAATAAATAAAAGATAACATAATTATTTACTATTTCTGTATGATAACATGAAAGGTGGTTAACAAGTTAATCATGTTGGTAAACCATGATGTTATATTTTTTAAAGATGACAGAAAAACCTTTTTTCAATTTCAACTAATCTTTTGCGAGGTTTTTTTGTATATCACATCGCAAATCTTAAGAGCTTTCTCATCTATTTCGCTAGGACTTTCGAGAATGCCTTTCAATATTTAGATAATGAAAATAATAGTATATGAGTATCATTATACTAGTTGCTCTTACAGGAACTACTTTAGCTACTATGCCAATACGTTTCTGTGCTGACTTTTTTGTTTTTCTGTTTAAAGGTATACCTGGGATGAAGATTTATGATGTCAAATATCACATAAAAGGACATAAACACCACGGACCATTTCACCAGGGAGGTAAAACTCGTTCATTGCTGTGCCATTGATAATGTTGAATATTATCAACAACAATTGCGTGATTATACATGTGCTAATTCATTTATGTAACATCAGGGGGCAGGGGACATATCCAAAGGATGGCCCCGGTCAATTTTTTTAATAACTCAAATATGGTGTTTGAAGGTACTGGAAACTTACTGATATTTCTCTGTCATTGTAATTCTTTCTTGTTTGTGTGTAGGAAATGAGAAGTATTTTGGGTTTTTACACGAACCTAAGCATTTTGGTAGCTTTGTATGTATTTGTGACTCTCCGAATGGAGGTGAAAAAGTTACAAATCAAGCTTTGACAGTTGGCGCCAAACAAGTAAGAAATTACGGATAAATTTTGTGAAAAAGCTAAACGTATGACAGACACTTTATTGGTCATTTTTGAAAATGCCATTGTTTGCACTGTGTGTTAGTGATATTTTCAAATGAATCGGGAGGATTCTGGAGTATGCTGCACCTTCATGAAGATTGCCCATATTGGTATATTTTAGGTGGGATATTGGCTGAATGGGGGTAAATATAAATTGCTGTCAGTCATTTTTTAAGGAGCAATGCATGTAGACTAATATTTTCTTCATTGTATGTCATATATCATTGATTAATGCTGTGCAACTGGTTATCTGCCTGTGAAACAGATTTTGAAATATTTGTAATTGTGTTTCTGGCCACACTGGAATACAAAATTGTTCATTTTTAGGTCCCCTGCCCTCTCACGCCTCCACTCCAGATTTTTGCTGTTACATGTATGACCAAAACTTGAAAAGTCTTTATTAGTAAAAACAGTTTACAGCTTCAGTGATTAAATCTTTCATCATCAAAAATAGCCGTAAAGTGTCATAATATACAATAATTAATAGCGCTGACTACGTTAGTAATGGGGTACAATTTGGTGAAAAATATAATAAATTATGTCAAAGTTTGCATAAAACATGCACAATAAGGCTAAGATTGTAGAGTTTGAAACATTTTTTAAAAGTGCCAATAGGTTTTTCTTTCGTTCGATTTTACCAAACACATCTTGGGTCAAGGAAAACGAAAAACAAATGATACAAACATGAACAGTTTTGGCAGTTCATTTAGCTAAAAGGTTATGTTTTGATATGCACATATTGAAACTGAAATGAGTTCAACAAAATATCGACGAACAATTTGACTGCCTTCGCCTTAACTTACCCTGCCGTCGTAGTCCGTTTAGCTCAGAATCAAAGTGATGGGCCAGAAAAATCATTTCTGAGTTGTGCTAGAAATTCGAAAATTCTCTTTATAAATCTTTACCCTAATTTTTAACTTCATAGTTTTACATGTATAATAAACATTTGTTAACCAATATTGCTAACAGTTTATTCATAAGAAGGACAATTAAAATGGATTTGGACAAGGCTAGATTTAATTCTTATCAACACCAGCAATGTGCTGACGGGTTTCTCATTTATCTTTCATAACCAAACCATGAACATTATCAACTTTAAGATAAGCGGTTTAAAACCATGATGACTTAACAATAGACTTTGAGATGCTTTTCGCATGTACATATTCAATTAGTCTTCTTTGTCATTTTATAGATAACTCACCAGTTGTAAATTAACTTTTTTTCTTAGTGCTCACATCTTCGTACAGATTATTATATAATATATATAGCTATTTGTTTATCAACTTAGTTAACGCTTTAGAAATGAAAATTTGATAAAAGATAATATAGTAAAGAAAATAGGAAAAAAAAATGATCAGTCTAAAACTTTTGACTTTCAGCCGATGGACGATGGTATCATCGCAATAATGCAGCTGCATACAATGGCAAGGACAAGATAAAGTACACAATTGTTGGAGAGATAGATGGCAAAACTGTTGTCACCAAAGGAAAACTTCATCCACGTAAGGAAATCGATATTGATATACACGTTTTTTTTACTTATATATAATTACACTGTATATACTTGTATATATATAAGACTTTAGTTATGATTCTAATTGTAAAATAAGTAAAATATAAAGTGTCATGTAATTCTACTCAACGAATGACTATGTATAATGTACTGTTAATTACGGAAGCTTATTAGGGCCTCGACTTATCTAAAACATTCACGTCATGTCAACTTGTTTCTTCTCGTTTTGACCAAATACATTCCATGAAGATGTTATGATTAATATTAATACGTAATACATAAAAATATTCTATGAAGACATTAAGATGTATTCGTAATACGTAGAAGTTTTTAATCATTGAAAAAAAACTTTGTTGAATTACGTGAGCTATTTGTCAATGCGAGTAACGTCTTTGAGTCTTACTAAATATTTGAGCAAAGTCGTGAAATCAAGTAGTTTCGACAGGATTTTTGTCGAAGAGACAAAAGCTTCAAGCAAATCGATAAAAATTCAGTTGCAATGCCTAAAAGCTTCTCATATTTGTTAGTAAATTTTATTGAGAAATGCAAAAACATCTTATCAATGCGAATACAAATAAGTTGACTTGGCGCAAAACATCTCACCGACTGTAGGCCCTGATACGCTTCCGTAGTTAATCTCTTATCATGAAATATATGTAACTATGCATAGATGAGACTTTTATAAATAAAGAGATATATCTTTCAACGTGTTTTCGATAATTTTTGCTGAAAGTAAAAGTAATTTCACATCGAACAATTTAGTTTGAAAGGCCTGGCTTAAATACGGAAACTATTTAATTAAAGAATGTGCTACTTTTCTATCTCTTTATGTCAAAATGATTATGGCACTGTACATACAGACACAATCTATGTCGACAAATTTCTCCCGTTTTATTTAAAATGTTTAAGAAATAAAGATTAAGTACGGAAGCGTATCAGGGCCTACAGTCGGTGAGATATTTTGCGCCAAGTCAACTTATTTTTATTCGCATTGATAAGATGTTTTTGCATTTCTCAATAAAATTTACTAACAAATATGAGAAGCTTTTAGGCATTTCAACTGAATTTTTATCGATTTGCTTGAAGCTTTTGTCTCTTCGACAAAAATCCTGTCGAAACTTCTTGATTTCACGACTTTTCTGAAATATTTAGTAAGACGCAAATACGTTACTCGCATTACAAATAGCTCACGTAATTCACCGTTCAACGTTCAAAGTTTTTTTGCAATGATTAAAAACTTCTTCGTATTACGTATAAATCTTAACGTCTTCACGGAATGTTTTATGTATTACGTATTAATCATAACATCTTCGTGGAATTTTTTTGGTCAAAACGAGAGGAAACAAGTTGACATGACGTGAAACCTTTAGATAAGTGGAGGCCCTGATAAGCTTCCGTAATTAAGGAAAGTTATTTTGATATTTTGTTATCTTTTTAACGGATTACACAAGACAAGTTGACTAAGGTCTAATGTCTTTTATCATTTACACATTATTTATAAAACAGTAACTATTTTCCTGCTTCTAGTGCACATATTTTTAACTTTTACGGCTTGCTTATTTGGCGGTTTTATCCCCTTGCTGTATTGGTATCTAAATTATTTGTTTATTCAATGTAATTGTTCAGAGGAAAGAAGCGTTGTCCTTGCTCCACCAAGGGTACTCAGAGCATGTAGAACAGTATTTCGAGATGACTTTAACGGAGCATTTGATCCGTCACATTGGAACTATGAAGTGTCTATGTATGGAGGCTATGTAAGACATACATATTCTAATAACATGAAAACCCTTTTACCCGTAAATATATACCTGTTGAAATAGATTGTTTTGTTTTAACGTAGTTAGTTTGCAAGAGGAGTGTGAAAATAGTGAAAAGAATGAAAAGTATCGTTTAGTTTATTTCTTTATTTTCTCAAAACAAACTTATATTCATTTACTTTCTGACTGGGAGCATTACATAAATTTCAGAACTGGGAAATCCAAGCATACGTTCCAGAGGCCAGAAATATTTTCACTAGAAATGGTCATCTTTTCATCAAACCTGTAAGTTATTCCAAAATCATTATAAAATGATTAATAACAGTTCTCTATTACAAAAATAAAAAACTGTCGTTTTCTTTTTAATAACCTATTTTAAATACTCATTTAATATAATTAACTTTTGGCATATTTCGTCCCTACCCGTGTCGTTTTTGTCAGCAAAATGTTTTACTGACACACGTCATCTTTTCTTATAGTTGTATTAATGATTTTTTGTATTTAATACTTATTTTACTTTTATAATGTTTCAGACACTTACAACAGATCACCCGAACTACTCCGAATCTACACTATCAAACGGTGTCATGGACTTAAAAGGTTAATATTTAGAAGTTTACATCAGTCAAAACTCAATAATCTGTATAAACATAAAGAGATGCTACTTGTCAATTAATCTTTAAAACTAAAAATGTACCATTGAACAACAAGAGCTCTTGTCCACGAAACGCTTTTAAAATGAATATTAGAAATAGATGTGATTAAGCTTATATTTTTTATATATTCAAATATATAATCTTTTAAAATAAATGATACTTTATTTAAAAATATTCATATTCAGCTATGTACGGATACTGTACAAACTCCGACCGCTGGGGCTGTTATAGAGCTGGAAAAGATGGTCTCCTACCACCAGTAATGTCTGGCAAATTAAAATCAAAAAGCACTATCAGATTTGGAGAGGTTACAGTTTGTGCCAGAGTACCAAGGGGAGACTGGATTTGGCCAGGTTATCAGATTTACTTACAATTTTTATAGAACTTGCATTCACTTCATATATATACGTGTAGACAAAAATGGCATTTAGGCCAAATTTACACAAATAAACATTATTGAAAATTAAAAAATATATAAAATAATAATGATATAGGCAATAATAATATTGATAATAAATGATATTTTGTTAAGTTCTGACTTTTTTACATCAAGTAACCGAGATAAAAATCATATGAGAATTTTTGTTCGGTAGAATTTATAAATATATTTCTATTTTAGCCATCTGGATGTTGCCTAGAGACAGTCATTATGGCCAATGGCCTAGGTCTGGAGAAATCGATATAATGGAAAGCAGAGGTAAGCAAATAGGTAGAATATTATTTAATGCATACCGGTATAAATCAGTCGTTACCGTTAGGTTAACCCTTCCTGGAAATTCCACCTGTCATGTGATTTACAGATGAGACGCACTCTTTGAAATGACGTTATGTTATCATATTTTAAAATGAAACTGCTATCTAGGATGACGTCTTTTGCTGTTATAAATTTCATACGCTATTGAAGGTAAATAGATACGGATGAAATTACATTACTTTCCAAGAAAACGTATGATTGATTTAATGAGGTTAACTTTTTGAAATATGATTAGATTTGGTAGAATATGCAAGAAATAAAATCTAACGTGTTTTAGGTTCATATCGAAATATCCGTCCCTTGGGTACCCGCCCATGGACCGTAAATCCGCAAGCCTTGTGAGCGCCCAATGTCCCCTACCGGATTTTCGATCCAAACCGTAACATATGACAGAAATAAGTAATCTTCGGCACCCTGAAAAAAAGGCATCGAAATGAGGAAGTGCATATTGAGAATGGCCCACATATTGGCTATAAACTCGTCCTTTTCTTTTACATTAATTGTTATACATGTAATTGTAACAAGAGCCATGTCAACATGGCCATCCCCCGCCGAATGTGTTTGCTCATTGGAAGAATGTATATGTAGTAGAGCAGAATAATTCCATTTTAAGAGGTCTTTTGGTAATGAAAACTGATGGCTATAGTGATTACAGATTTGAAACCTATGTGAATACTGATGGCTGAAAGTAACAAAGGGCAATAACTGAAAAATAATGCAGGGTAGGTTATCATCCTTGTGTGCTGCATCCCTCCTCAGTAAAATCTATCCACCTATGAAGTTTCAAGTTGATACCTCAAATACTTTTTGAGAAAAAAAATTGAATTGAAAAATTAAGTATGAAAAATAACAAAGGGCAATAACTCAAAAATTATAAAAGGTACAGTTATCATTCTTGTGCAGTGCACACCTCCTGAGTGAGATCTATGCACCAGTGAAGTTTCATTTTGATATCTCAAAGGCTTTTTGAGTTATGCTCTGGACAAAAATTAATTTTGAAAAATAACAAAGGGCAATAACTCAAAAATAATGCAGGGCAGAGTTATCATTCTTTAGCACTGCACTCCTCCTCAATGAGATCCATCCACCTATGAAGTTTCAAGATGATACCTCAAATACTTTTTCAGATAAGCTCTGGACAAAATAGCATGAAAAAAACAACAAAGGGCAATAACTCAAAAATTGTATAGGGAAGAGTTATCATTCTTGCGCACAACATTTCTCCTCAATAAGATCTATCCTTCTATGACATTTCATGTTGATATCTCAAACACTTTTTGAGTTATGCTCCACTCAGGTGAAAAATTAGGTATGAAAAATAACAAAGGGCAATAACTCAAAAATTATGAAAGGAAGAGTTATCATTCTTGTGCACTGCACACCTCCTGAGTGAGATCTATGCACCTATGAAGTTTCATGTTAATATCTCATAGGCTTTTGGAGTTATGCTCTGGACAAAAATCAATTTTGAAAAATAACAAAGGGCAATAACTCAAAAATCAGGCAAGGTAGAGTTATCATTCTTGTGCACTGCACTCCTCCTCAATGAGGTCTATCCACCTATGAAGTTTCAAGTTGATAACTCAAATACTTTTAGAGATATGCTCCGGACAAAAATTTCGGACGGAAGGACGGACGGACGGAGACTATTACTATATCCTCCGCCGAAAATTTTCGGCGGGGGATAATAAGCCTCTAAAATGTATTCTTTCTTGTTTATTTGTGTATGTAGAAATCGTGATTTTTTTTCACGCAAACATTAAAGGTATATCTGGTGAATGATTCTGTAATGAATTAAAACAAAGCAGTAAATGTATTTTCATTACCTTATGGTCGTCTCTGGTAGGATTTGTAACAAAGAATATCTATGTAATTTGATATACACGAAAATTATAAGTCAACTGTTATTTTAGTATGTTTAGCGATGATTTCATGCATGCCAAAATCAGTTTCAATTATTTTTATTCTAGGTATTTTGTAATCATTTAAATCATAACATAAACAATAATTTTACAATACACGGGGGAACATATATAACTTCATACACTTTAGGAAACTCCACTGAGGTCCAAATGTCTAAAGACATAAAAATTGAAAATCCTACTTAGATCAGCAGGGACAATAAAACGAAAAAAAATGTGAAAAACATAGAAAAGATATTTACTCAGAATTTAAGTGGTAGTTGTATTCAGTGCGATTTTTACCGCGAGTCTAGTTAAAAGCGCTAGAACATATACACAGATAACTTTTTTGGAAAAGTTGGAGTGACATAATGATTTGAAAGTTTGAACTAAAAGTCCTTATAATGAATCATTACTACAGTGTTGGTAATTTGAATCTTTTTCACAACTATTGCTATAGTTTTAAATACCTTTATGTTTGGACAAGGTATTTTATTTTGTGAAATATTGTTAAAATCTATCTCTAGGCAATACACAGGCCACTGATGGTAGTGGACACAATCATGGTGTCAATGAAGTTGGAGCAACTATGCACTGGGGACCTGATGCTGGCCAAAATAGATTTACACTTACACATGGAGATATGTATGTACTGGCTTAGTGATTTTTCCAAAATATTTGCTATCTGCTCTTTCAAATTTTTTGATTTTCTTGTTCTTTTAAATTTTACTGTGTTTTGTAGAATGTCAACGACCTTAGTTCAGTGTTTTCTGTTTCTGTCAATTTCGACAGGCTTGATTAATTAAACTTTTTTTTTAAAACCGTTTATCAGATATAAGATCTTTGAAGAAATGCAGAATGATTTGATATGTCTTTTATGCCGAAATATAAGCAATTAAAAAAAAAACATTTATTTTCGTGAGTCTTAAAGTTATGGCTAGGGTTGGTTGCCATCCTTTTGATTTTTTTGTAAGTTTTAAGAAATACATTGACAATCAAATCACGTGATCATTTTTTTCCACTCCTTCAAACTTTTCTTCTTATATCTCCGTATTTTGATTTTAACGTCACCTTCAATTTTCTGTTATGAAAACAATGGTTGACCCATATCATGACTGCTTATGTTTGCAATAATCTAACAGAAATCTGAATATTTGCTCGTTTCCGATATATTCAGCTTAACACACAATTGAACACACCATAGATAGATAGACCTTCACTTGCATTGTAAAATTGAAGGCAATTTAAAACAAATATACTTTGCTCGGTCGCATGCAAGAGTTGAGCTATATACTTCCTATTTCAGTCAAGGAGATTGGAGTCATGCCATTCATTGTTATCATCTTAGTTGGACTGTGGACCATATACGGTAGGATTATTTTTGGCTCTGTTGTTGCAAAATGTACTTCTTACTGTTTTGAACTCTGTTTTTTCTCCTTCCACTATTAATAATTTAAAGTACATAAAAAAGAACAACGAAAAGTTTAAGGAGTGATTAGACTACTATGTTTACTTCGGCAGGCTTGTCAAGCAATATAAGGATTGCTAAGAGACGTAAATCTATCGGGTTTTTTTTTCGCTCTTAGGCTCATATACACCTTATAAAAAGTCAAAATTATTTCGTAAAAGTATTTTGTAGACTTGATCATGGTCGTTAACCAAAAACGGTTGTCCCACTCAGTGTTCTAAAATTGTCACAACAGTTTACAAGTTTATAGGTAAATACAACAACCTACACTAATGTTAAATATTGAATACCTGTATCAAGCCGTTTGAATATTCTTCTATTTTGTTATTCATTTGATTTAAGCGTGACTGTTGATAACCGGGAAATAATGAACATCCCCATTCACCAGAGTTTCTGGCAAAAAGGAGGATTTAGTGGCAGCAATATCTGGGGTAGCGGTACTAAGGCAGCTCCTTTCGATCAACCGGTAATCTAGTAAAATGTACTTTTTTTACTAAACAAAAACCAGTGGAAATTGAAATTTTTCCATGTATAGAGAATAATTAACAAAATGTTCGTTCGATCAATTACACGTTAGTATAACACATAAGATCCAAGTGTGCCACTCATGTTTTGATGATGTTTTTTGCTAGCGAGGCTGATTAGTCAGATAGTTACATGTATGCTTTGTAGTTCAAGTATGTCTTATCAGTTGCTAATTTTAAAGGTTATTGATGCATCATAAATAACCACTGCACACTTGCTCTACCTAGAACGCCTAAAAGTATTTGTTTCACGGATGCTGTGTTGAATTTAATTTACTCTATTTATATTAGTATTACATCCAACGCAATGAAAACAAATATAGTTTTTTTTATAAATTTTTCTTTGTAGTTTGAGCTTGATACATGTAAATACAAATTTTAACAGATGGTTATATGCAAATTTTAATCATAATTTCAGTTCTATTTGATTCTGAATGTTGCTGTTGGTGGTACCAGCGGATTTTTCCCTGATGGATGGACGTACAACTCGCCTAAACCATGGAGGAATGATTCACCGCACGAAAACTCTGACTTTTGGAACGCTAGAAACAATTGGCTTGGTTCTTGGCATGGAGATGATGTTGCCATGGAAATCGATTCTGTTGAGATGAAACAATGTTAATATTGGTTACGTAATAAAACTAACATGAAAATACCGTTGCTGTTTTAATACTGTATAAAGCCAGTTTAGCCCAAGAATCTTTTTTGTATTTATCTTCAAAAAGTTTTTTTTTCTTCTCCGAAATGATACTCATTGGTCATGAACCTGTACAATGGTATCTTCCTGTGTTTTTTTGGCTGTTAGATCAGTGTTTTGTATGGAAGCTCGTATTGAATCAGGATGGAATAAAATCCACTTGTAGAAATTAAAAAATTTGAATCTGGAGAGAAAGGATATTTTTATGCGACCTTAATTACTTCGGTTCTGGAGATAACACTATTTTTTGCGTGTGCAACATGATTTTTTTATTTTGATAATACATTTTTCACATTTCAGCTGGGTTCAGAAAACATTAAATCTTACTAAATTCATTACATTTGACAAGAGCAACATAATGATCTGATTTCGCTTTAAAGATAAAATCATCTACTGTTCTCTTTGAATTGATTAATTTTATTTTGAGATCTTAAGACATGATGTGTAAAAAAACAACTTGCTCGTTTAAGAGTGTGGATTTATCTAAACAAGAATGAGCGGAATATGGAAACCATACGACTGTAGTATTTTGATGTTCTCTTTAGTTTTTATGGTACAAATGGTACTGCATGAACTATCCTTTTGTTTTGTCTAAAACCATTTCTCCTGGTATATTAGATCTAATGAAAATGAAAACATTTTATTCTATCTATGATTCTTTAAACTTTTTTTTCAGTGTCATTAAAGCATTTTAAAGGTCTCTTGGCTTTTACTGATATTTTTTCATTACAACAAATCTATTGAATTATGTAACACAAAACAACGCATGTATTTAACAGTTTTTACATGCATTTTATGCATACACATGATTTTGAAACATGTAGAGTGACTGTTAATGAGTGTTCAAGTTTTGCGAAAGTAACGACTTTGGTGCATAATTCTGATAGAGAACGAGTGTACACTTCTTGTTAAGTAAAATGAGACAAGATTTGATTAATGAACCTCAATTGTTTATCATAACAACAAGGATATAGAGACATTTATTTATTTGTTCACAGATTCTGGTATAATTTGTTGTAGTACAAAATGTTTTTCCACCAAGACAAATATTTGATATTCACAAAGGTATTTAGGTGTATAGACATGAAGACTTATTTTTAATGTGGAAATTGTATGTTTAATGTCACTTACAAAGCTTCAAAGTAGTTTAGCACTAAGAAGTCTTTGTATGATGTAAGTATACACACACGCACATACATATGTCTATATTTATATGAATGAAACTATAAAGTTCAAAACCCTGTTACGACTTCCTTGTTTTATCGGCAATTTTAATCTTCTCATATACCTGTACAAACTGGTATTTTCAAATCCTATGCAACATTTTGTGCATACGAAGGGCACATTTGTGCCAAATTGTGGTTATCTATACACATAACTTGTTGTGTGAACTGTACTTTCTATTCCACTTTTGATGTATCTCGACTAGGTCGTCAACATCTGATAACGATTATGACCCCTGATAAGAAAAAGAGGTTACACAAATAAATTATTCATCAAATGGAATCCTCAAGTAGATGAAAATGTTGCAAGTATCACAATATTGAGATAAAACATGTTGCAAAATGAACGCATTTCTTGCAGGTGCTGTTTAGTTATTTTGTTTTGACTGATCAAGGGGGGAGATTTATTTCTGATAATTTGACCACTATTTGTAACGCAAATGTGCCGAACGTCATTTTTTAACACCAGTTTAGAGTAGGACACGTAGGAATAACCACGAAGGGTGTAAGCCTGAGTGGGGTTTTCTTTTCGCACCAAAACGGGTTTCCCCTTGAAAGAATTTGGTAAGCTTAACTTGTTTAAACGTACATGTCCGACTGGATTGTGTTTGTTTACATCGATGCCTGATAAATGGATCTCCCACCAATGACAGTTTAAATGACCTCATTCTGGCGGCTTAATGATTAAAGATGACGTTTTTTCGCTGCTTATAAACCACAATTTTGTAAAACTGTTGATGATTAAATCTGTGGTGTATGTGAAATGTTATTCTAGCATCATATGAAAAGATAACCTAATAAGAACGGAAAATATCCATTAAATGTGTTATTATTGTTGCCTTAAAAGGCTTTCTTCATTCATCTTATCGGACGGAGATGAAAAAGCCCTTCTAACCTTTGTATATTAGCAGTTAAGTATCGTTTTTTGTTTGTGCGTGCGTGCGTGCTCGCGCGCAAGCGCGCGCGTGTTAGTGTGTGTGACATTTTGTTTCTTCTTTGTGACAAAATCACGAGGCATATTAGAATCAACATTTAATATAAATGATTAAAAAGACAATGTTTTGGCTTTTCGTGAATATGTTAAACATCAATAAATCGTAGTGAGAAAATATCTACATTTTTATCATCTCTCAGCAAATATAGCATATTCATTCAAAACAAATATCTGTAACAAAAATATCAAGTCGTCGATATGAATTTTGCAGTGCGTTGGATTGTGTCATTTTCCAGTGTATACGATATTGCTTTGAAAGATACCAAATATCGCGAGTGAACAAATATCAAAATTATATGGCTACACGTATGTTTGCTATGTCGTGTGATTGTTATGTCCTCGTATCACAAAATAAAAATATGTTAATAGTACAAATACTGCAAGATAACAATTTCATTATATGAATAGTAATTTTCCTTCCTTATGAATACAATTAGCCATATTAAATCAATTTTTGTATGCATTTTAGTTATTTTCTATCTCTAAAAATATTTGGAGAGTAAAAATAAGTTTGTGCAGTTTTGGGATAGGTAAAAAGTGAGTAAAAATAAAGTCTTCATATTTGGTAAAATGGGAATAATAAGAATTCCATGATGAAGAAAAAGTTTCAAAATTGTTATAAATAATTGCAGTCTCTTTTTCATTATTCTAACAATATGTTATGCAGTTTTAACTCCTACAAGATACTCGTTTGCAATTTAAAGATTAGATTTTTAGTTTTTGAAAAAAAATATAATACACAGTACATAAAATCAAAAACAATTAATCGGCAGATAATGTTGGAAAATTGTTCTCTTTTGCTTTAAAATAGACTTATGATGTCCTTTACAAAACTACATTACCAAAACAAATGTTAAATAGTTTCTTTTTCATTTTTACAAAAGGTGCAAAAAGGGTTGTCATATTTTTTTTAATAGTTGGTTCTAATTTATCTGTGTTTATATTGCTTGATGTAAATTGATTTTCCTATCCAAATTACAGTTATCTTATCAAAATTTACATTAAATTCCTATAGAGGTGTACAATTTGATAAAACATCAATGCTTTATTTAATGAATTGCTTGACCCGTCAAATATCAGTGTTGTGCCATCCGCAAATTGTGATATTTCTTTTATGTTCTAGATGATTCATCTTGAAACATTTGATCTACTTAGAATTTCTTATTTAAAGAGTAAACATTTTTCTGCACATAAGAATGAAGATATAACGAGAAAGCGGTTGCCCTCATCATTCAAAATAGTAAACCTTTAAATATAAAATAAACGTTGTAAAGTTGTATTGAATAATATTACAATAAAAATGCCGTATAGTTGCAGCAAATGGGTTAATAATGCCACTTATATCACAGTCCATCATGACTGCAAGATGCCACTAAATACAATTTATAATGATGCTGCATTGCAAAACATTAAGAACACATGTAGTTGGCGTAGATATAGAGTTGCATTATAGACACTTAGTACAAAGATAAATAAAAGATGGGAATAAAGATCAACAAGGCAAAGGCAACGTTCAACCAAGCCTCCACAGCAGGGCACTCAGAAGGAAGGCACCGATCCAAAACCGGGAGTGGACACAAGGGCAGCGAAAGGAGGATAGGGACAAGTTATATGTGAAATAATAAAATCTAAAAAGGGCCCTTATGGGAATTAAAGGGACAATGGCTAAAAGGGTGAATGGGGGGAGGTGAGAAAATACGTTAACGACAATTTGATAAAGTGGACATCACAAAACATGCAAACATTCAAACAAGTAACACTACAGACATGTGAAGGAACACAGAGGGGTACCGCCTTGGAACGGTCAGAGGTAGTTACACCACTAGGAAGTTAAATCACACTAACAGTGTAGTCTTTAACATATTTATTAGACTTACTAGACTGCTTCTAGCAGTAACAAAATGAACCTATTCTTACTATAGTATGCCCCTATTAGAGCTACAACCACTAACAAAAGACAATAAACGTGAAACGGCATTTTCCGGATACGTTTTTCAATATAAATATATATAATAATAATTGATTGAATTGTTATTTGTGTCACTATGCGTAGCATTTTTATGCAAAGGAACTTTGTATTTGTATCTACAACTTTAAGAAAGATTTCATTTAAATTAAGGTCAATGTTTATTTGGTGAAAAATGGCTGCGACGTCATCGTTGAGATTATAGCCTCAATTTTGACATAATGAGCACGTTATCAAGACTTCTGATAAGATATTAATATAAATGCTCCTTTTTTACATTTAAACATATCGTCTGCCAACGCAGCGACTAAAACTTGAAGCATGATTGTCGCATACTTCCTTTGCCTAATAGTGTCGGTGTTTTCCGTGGATGTTCCTCATCCAAAACTAGTGCATCTTGCTTCTGGAGATGTGGAAATTTCAGTAGAAGGTCGGTGTTACTTTCTTTCCTAATTTATCTTATTTTATTTTATTTATTTTTAATCTGTTTTAAATTTTAGAAGTTGATCAACATTTATTTCTTTAAAAGATCTGTTTAATTCACTTTAAAGCTACAATCAATATTGTTGAAAAACTGTTTTGATAAATAACTTATTTATACAATCGAACGGTATGTTTACTACCAATCAATTATGTCAGAAGACGATGCATGATTCTGGTAAGAATATTGAAGTTGTTTAAGGTAATTTTTATTATGTAGGTGCTCGTTATCTTTGTAAAAAATGACAGAGCATATGTCAATAAAGACAAAAATAAATGTTATTTCTTTTAATATG